TATTTGTTGTTCTAGGGAGCTAGCATGACTATCACTACCTAGTTCTCGCGTACGCACATCATCGTTGTGGACACGCTGGTGCCATCCGACACCGCCTATGCTTCGCAGACAACGATGATTTGAAGGCACTTTAAATCTTCAGACCGAATGAGCCAAGTCTCACTACCATAGAGCATAACAACCCTCACTGTGGCCTTGTATACACGGCCTTTCAGACGGAGGGAGATTCCATTCTGTCGCCAAAGATGCCGAAGGTTCAAGAAGGTAGCTCTGGCTTTTGCAATGCGTGAGCTGACGTCAGTATCTCTGCGCCCATCATTGCTGATGCAGCTGCCAAGATAAGTGAAATGATCAACCACCTCGAGTTCCTCGTGAGCAAGCGTCAAGGGGTCATCAGGTGGCTGGTGGTCCTGCAGCAACACTTTGCACTTTGAAGGTGCGAAGTGCATACCAAATAATGGGACCACTCTGGACAGGCTATTCAGGGTTGATTGTGCCGCCGCTAAATCGTCGAAAAGCAAGACGATATCGTCCGCATAATCTAGATCAACTAACCTTTCACCAGGCAGCACTTCAACGCCTACATCGTGAGATTCCGCAAGGGAACATTGTATGATAGAATCCACGACGAAATTGAACAGAAATGGGGGAATCGGACAACCCTGACGAACGCCACTTGTGGTCGGAAAGCTATCCGATAGGACACTATTGACCCTGACGCAGCCTGTAGTGTTTGAGTATAGAGCACGAAGGATGTTCACATATTTCGTGGGAACACCTTTCTGCGCAAGTATTTCGAACAGAATCGATCGATCGACTGAATTGAACGCACTCTTGTAATCGAGGAACACAGCTATTGTCGGTCTGCGGTATGCGTGGCGCTGCTCTAGCACCTGCCGCCAAGTGAATATACGGTCTATACAGCCACGTCCTGGACGGAAACCGGCTTGCTCTTCCCTAATCCCAGATTCCCATTCCGCAGTGAGGCGACGAACGATAACCGAGGCCAGTAATTTTGTCACAACTGGCTTTAGGCTAATACCCCTGTGGTTAGAACAGTCTGTGCGACTGCTCTTCTTGTATATTGCCACTATAATCGATTCGCTCCAGTTAGCCGGGACACTTCCTTCCAGATACATTCGAATAAGGTCAGTGCTTTGCAGAGGACCTCACCTCCATCCTTAAATAGTGCAGGTGGGAGGGAATCCGGGCCAGCTTCATGAAAAAAATGAAGGCTGTGATCGCGTTTAGGACCTTGGCCTCCGACCGAGGCTCTAAACTAACCGCCCATGGTTCGTCCTGCATCACCTGAGTAGGATGAGGTCCGGGAGCAGGGGGCCAGCTGAACTGATCTTGAAAGTGTTCCGCCCAACGAGCCATACGGCGCTCCTTATTGTGTATCAGCGCACCCGCACTGTCTCTGATTGTTTCACTGACGCCTGGTTTTCTGGGACCGGTGGTGCGGATTAGCTGGAAGAGCTTGCGGCAATTGCCTACTGCTCCTGACTCCTCCATTTCTTGAGCCCGACTGGTCCACCAGGCTTCCTTGTCAGTGCGTAGGCTCTGCTTTACGCCTAATAGCCCGTCTGGTCACATTGTGTTCAGAGCCAGCTGGGGGGTGTCTTCTAGATTCCAACAGGTTCACTGACCTCTCGGACATCCAGTGACTGGTGCGGTGACGATTGATAGTGCCACAAGCAGATGCTTCTGCGTCGTGCATGGCGGCCGAGATCCTATTCCATTGAAGCTCAGTGTCATTAGGACAAGACAGCGGAAGTTCGGTATGCAGTGTTTCTTGATAGGCTTGCCTGACCGAGGACTGAGACAATTTCTCCGTTGCCAATCGTAGGGGACGCTTGGTTCGCCTCGCGGCGAACTTCATGGAGAAACGACAGCGCATCAAGGCATGATCAGAGTCGACACAAGTACTCCAGTGCGAGCAGCAATCCAGGATGAAACCACGTCATCTATAACTTATGGCTATGTGGTCAATTTGGGTCCATTGCTGGCCAGCTGCAGGAGGACGCCAAGTGGCACTTCGGCGCTTACTGTGTCTAAAAGCAGCGCTACTAAGAAACCACTGGTGCTCCGCACACAGTTGCAGCAGACGCTCACCGTTGTTAGTCCGTTCGGAGTGAAGCCCATAATTACCACCCAGCTGAGTTTCTGAAGAGCTCAGACTCCCTACTTTTGCGTTCATATCTTCTGCAAGTACTAGAATATCTGAACTAGTAACACTGCGTAGTAGCGCGTTCAGTTCGTGATAGAATGTGTCCTTGACAGCATTTGAACTGCGCTCGATGATAGCATAAACGGAAATCACAAACAGCGTTTTGTATTATTTCGTGAATTCATCTTAGCTGATGTCGTCAAACGGGCTGCACATAAACGGCTGTTTACCGGAATCCAATCAACCAACGATGGCACAGCGTTGCTTAGAATGATACCTACACCAGCTTGACCCATGAGTGCTGCATCGGCGTCTCCGGATGCGTGCAACCAATAACCAGTGGATAAGCCGGGTGCAGTTAATTCAACAACCCCGTTAGGGTTATTGATCCTAGTTTCGGATACACAACATCCATCAATACCCCGTGTGTCCAAGGTGCGTGCGAGTGCAGCCTGCTGACCTGTTTGTCTTAGAGTACGAGCCTTGAATGTCGCCAAGGAAACGGGATAGCGTGGCCTTATAAGGGACGTTTGCCGATAGGCGTCCGATAGGTGCGGTGGGATGGTGGCTGCAGATGGTTCTACTTCAGTGGCATTTTGGTTGCTGTCATTTTAGCTGGGAATTATAGAAGGAAGGTTAGTAATGGGGGTCGGGATGGGAGTAAGAGAAAAAGGTGGAAAAGAAAGAAAGGAGGCGCCAGCAGTAGTATGTTTTCGCTTATCCGCCCTGCTGTATGCAGCAGATAAGGCGACCTTTGATAATCTGCGCGACGGCCGATGTAGGATGAAGTTTATATTGGAAGATAAGGTCATGGTTATATTTCGGATATGTTTCGTTTACTCTCGATTGCACTGCTCCATTACATGAACAGCAAGGTTACTCGCTTATCACCCTTCATTGTTCTTCTGTGCCTGTACAGCAAACCAACGCTCCAGTGGCCTACGTTCAGTATACGGTGATTTCGTCAAATACGACACATTCTGTTACAGTTGAGGACTCACGGCCTCCATTCTTGTCGAGTGTTGCTCCACTTCAAGCTGTGGGCCCCAGTGCTCCGTTCACTCCATCCTCTCTTGTTTCGCACTTTGTACCTGCTCGGCTTGGAGCGAACTTTTGCGTTGTCAAGTTAGCTTCTGAAAACTCTATTACTGCAATTTGTTTGTACCCTCAGTTTGCTCGGATTTGCTGTTGCATTGTTAACGGTGTTCCAACTGTTAACACTTCAAGGTCTTTCCCATTTAGTATAATATTGTTATCAGTGAGTTCCAAGGGAACCGCTCCGATATGTTCCATATCAAACCTGCGGTCAATCAGTCTGTATGATTTGTCCGTAGAGCATTGTGCGTCGCGGACGACGCCTGTCCGTTGGGAGAGAGTAATGTAACGGTAACTCATTTTCGTTTCTATCTTAACTATAACTGACCTGCTTTACGCGTTGGACAAAGAAGAACCCAAAACCCCGAACTGTACCTATCTTACCGTAATCTCCTCATATTTATTGCGTATTGAACTGAGGCGGTGGACGGCATACACCTGTTCATCGGTCTTTCTGGTGCTCTCGGTGATTTCCTATATTTCCGGCTCAGTAATGTTGTGGTCAATGGGAACATCCGTCATTACAGGTGTGTGCATTTTTGATGAACGAGAATGGCGCTTGTGCGTTTAATGCATTCTTCTATAGCCTACCGTCGGTAGCACCATCCGAGAGTTGGTTTTTGGACAGCCGCTTTTCACCATCTGCTGAGGGAATCTGCCACCGTACTTTGAGTTACTGTCGGTATTGTTTACTGATTATGTGAAACTCTGGAGTACTAGAATGTGTCTGCTAGCACTGAGGCGATTCCGTACACGTTTGTTGAGCACCGGACTAACTGTTCTCTTCCTTGTGTTGGGTCAGCTGATCTCCTAATGAAATCTGTGGTCTGCGTGGAAATATCTACATTATTCAAGATGTTATCTAACTTCGGTCTAGAAACCACTGAACAAATTTACTTGCCGATGTCTTCTATTGTAGTCGCTTAATTATTCAACTGACATCGAAACATCTTACTCGTGTGAAACTGTCCATAATCTTCTTTAGATCCCACCGAGAATACCATGCCCACGTTTGTTCTTTACACGTAACAACATGAAGCTAAGGAACTGTACTCGGTTGTGCCATGCATGTTCAGGAGTTACGGTAGCAGGCGAATCTCGGATAGTCACTTGGTTTGCAAATGTTTTTAATGAGCTATCAGCGTTCGGATAACTTAGTTCTCCTATAAGAGAAATCAGCCCGGACCAGTCAATATTAACTATTTATTTCTGATAATTCCTCTCCTCCCCGCGTTCATCCCCAGGGAATCTCATTGAAAACCATCTGGTCAGTTTGGAGCGAAAACTCGTATGACCCCGAGTTATCCATGTTCCTGGCTGGGATCATATAACCTTTTCCTTTCTTTACTAGACTCTCACTACCTGAGTTCCTTTTTCTACTTCTTATTCTCACATAGCATCACATAAAAATACCTTGTCTTTCCTTCTGTTTTTATTATTTTTTTCCCTTCATTATTTCATGTTGCTCGCGAAGTAGCGTTTATCATGATTTGGGACATGACATCAGTCTTCACTTAACAACCCACTCCAGTGGAGTGATTATTGTATTTTCACCTCAGTTCGCCCTCATGTGACTTTACGAAAGCACTTGCTCCTTTGTAGCCAACTTTTTTAGTTCACCTTATCTATGGAACCCTGATCTACTTGTTTTGCTGCCTCCATTTTAGGCACAACTTTTTCACTTTCTACGTATATACTGTACCGGATTTAATCAGCTTGTTCGGGGATCTCTCTAATGGCTGTTCATCAGTGTACCGAATGCTATCTCACTTTCCGAAGGCCCTCTAAGCTGAAAGAACATTTTTATGTCCACACAGGTGAGGTAAGTTGCCATTAATCTTGCCTGCACTAGTTACCTTGTACCGACATTCTTAGCGGTATGTGACTACCAGTCCCATTTCTTTTTACGCGCTTATTACTGACGACAGTGGACTTGCGCCCTTTGTGTTGTCCTTCCCACAACCACTGATCGTCCGTGCTCACAGATAGAGTTACACTTCATTTTCTCCGCTTCTAACCGCCACTTTCTACAACTTAACAACTGTACGCTATCGGGCGCGTCCCCAACTTGTTCATTGAAGAATACCTTCCTTGTGGAGGTAATTGTGAATAAGTCTCGTTTGCTTTGCAGGCGAGATAAATAAGCAGTGGCGGACAATCAGCGGCAGCGTCTCGGAGAGGGGGGAGTTCTAGTCAAGTCACCTGCTTCTCCATTAAATACCACAAGAGCTGGTATGGCGCTGTGTCGACTCCACTGTAACCGACCATAAGATCACTGACCACTCACTTATGTAACCAGAAGTGAGTACCTAGAGGAAGGTAGAGGAAGAACCTTGCTGGTCACCGGCTTCTGTGTGGACTGCTACCGAACACTAATAATACGTATGAGTCAGCGGGCTATCAACAATCTTCATATTAAACGGCTAGTTAAACGTTTCACGAAACGTTTGCTGCTGCTATACTCGGTCTGTCCGGCTTTCCTGAGTAGTTTCTTACTGCCCGAATGTCATGTTTCTGATTTCCGATGGTTTGCGATTTACTTTAATCGCCCCAATGCCTTACGGGTCAAATCTTAACGATCTAAGACTCCGTGTGCAGTCTTCTAAGTCAATCCTTTCCTTCGGCCTAGGCAGCCGGAAAGCTCTTTACTCATACAACACTAATGAACATGAACCTACCTAGCCCTACTCTCTTTTTACTCTCTCTCTCCGCCTCTTTTTTCGGCTGAAGTGCTTGCTTCCGGATCTACAAAACCATACTCCACCGTACCCCCTACTGCAGGTTTTGCTTCCACGTCTTTTAAATTCCCGTATTTTTGGTAATCCCTCTCTGATGCAGAGTCTCCGACAACTGGTCGCCTTGAGGGACAGCACCATTATATCACACACCAGGTTCCGATGGCTGGGCCACCTGTTGCGCACGCCAGCCCACCGACTCCAGCGACGTGCATTGTTTGCGCGCCGGGGGTGTGGGTGGAGTAAGAGGAGGGGAGGCCAAGCGATAACTTGGTCAAGAGGAATGAAGCTCCTCACTTCGAAGTTTGTGTCGGTTAGTGTTTCCCGACTGCCTGGCTGGAGACCGAATTATGATGAACACCTTTAGTTGGATACACTAGCTGACATGGCGAAGCGTTGACCTCAGTGGCGTTTGGATTATGAGTCCCTCCCCTTCCTTCCCTTTAGCTTTCCCCTCCAACAACCATCAAAATGTGAGATTAGCATTATGTTACTTTTCAAGTCTATATTGCTCAACCTCTTACTTTTTTATTGCGCTACTTTAGCTGAAATGGGTTTCTCTCCCTCTTCTAATCTGTATTGATGACGATGGTGGTTGATTGAAGGATATTTCTGTGTCCGTAACCACTTTAGGACTGTTCGTGTGACACGCAGTTGTGAAGACAGAATATTTCTGGCCCTCGCTTCCAATATCCGGACGCTCATACAGCTACGATCGCAGGCAGCTCTTACCTGCACCCTGGAAATCCTCACTCTCCATATACGTTACCTCGCTGAGATCCGCTTACAGGACTCCAGCAAACCCCACGACTACCATCATCTGCGTGCTCTCACACGTTCACACTACGCTTATCTTGAGAACTGCCACGAGACTGGTCGATGTGTGAATTTCGTTGGGTGCGCGCGCAGAAACAGCGCTACTTGTTTGGATCCCGGTTTATAGCCGACTCTGTGCGGTTCAATTAGAAAGCTCCATCCGCTTGACCTGCCGCGATGTTACTAAACCTTGTTTTTTTGTCCGTCGTAGCGACATTCTCCCATGGATTGCTGTCTCTACTCAGCTAAAGCTGCGTTCTACGATCAACCATCTGATCTTCTCCATAAGAAACTTTTTACGGTATTGCAGCGCTCATCGGAGACTTTAACGCACATGACGGTAGGCTTGAAGCTGATGGACTCGACCTCGGACAAGGACCGTGAGAAACTACAGCTACATCGAGGAGGGGTCACTGGCTATTAGGTTTGCTGTGGAGAAATTCCACATGATGCTGTCCAGCCGCCGCTTCAAGCTTTCGATGCATCACAAATCGCTACTGACTATCTTCGGCTCGAACAAAAGCATCCCTGTCCACACAATCAATCAGCTCCAGTGATGGGTATCATTTCGTGATCCCCAACCAAATTTCTACAAAACTGAGTGGCCACATTCGTGTTCACCAGCCGAAATGCAGCAATGTTATCAAAGGAGACATTTGCTCTTCAGTGTGAACCACTGCATCTTGTTTTTGGTAGGGTGTTCATCCCGAAGATCTTACAAAAAAGTCTGTTGCGGCAGTTCCATACAGGACATTTCGAAACCAACCGGATGAAGGCACTTGCTCGAAGGTATATGTAATGACCGTCTGTGGACAGGCAGTTGGAGCAGTTAGCTAAAAGTTGTAGCAGTTTTGCTACCGATTCAATGGCATCACCGAAATTGGAGATTCATTCTTGGCCGAAACCAACAAAATTATAGTGTCATGTTCATGTAGACTTCGCTGGATCCATCAATGGCCAGAGCTTTTTCATTACTGTCCACGCCTCTAGCAAATGACCTGAAGTATTCCTCATGAACAGCATGACAACTTGCTTTACTGCGGCTAGCTCCTGCGACAGGATGAACCAACTTCATGTGTTGCGAATTGCAGATACCCAAGCGCGGTGGTCAGCAACAAGCTCCGCGCACATACTGATCTGATGATTTCTCCAGTAACGAGAACCATGCACAACCTGGAGTCTCAAATGGTTGACATCCGATTTAACTGCAACGAGCCACGTTTTAAATTGACCACCACGGCGACGACACTAACCCACGGCCTTAGTGATGTCGGTGTCTAGTTTGCGGAGGACGTGACCGCATCACTGAAATCTGCGGCCTTGGATGTGCACTGAAAGCTTCGGAAGACCGTAACAACGTTTACGACCTTCTTCATTAGTGATACGCTAATGCCACTGCGTTTTCAAGATAAGCATTATGAATAAATACAGAAATTGTATGTTCCTTGACGATGCGAGAAGCTGTTCCCTAGAAGAAACAGATCAAATAATGGTACAACCTTTCCATGACATTGCATTAATGCTTTTTCAGAAATAAACATAGGCGCAATTTCAAGTTAGGTAACACAAATTAATCAGAATCGTTCTGCTATTTTTCCTGTCATTGAACCAGTATTCTTCATATTCACATGTCGGATGTTTGGGCCGAGGAAAAATGAAATGAAGGGGTTGTTGTCCGAAATGTTTTGTGTGTGTTTCGAAAGTTTATTCAGACACCATTGATACCGTTACAAAAGTGTTATCTGGGGACTGTGATGTCCCGAAGATATTAACCACGTTTTGGACGGTTAACTGCTTACTAATCGCAACCTTAAAATTGCAAAGTATATGGCATGTTTTGATATCACTTGCAAGTTTGTTCCAAATCTTTGAGTAGTGGGTTAGAAAGAAACCTTCCTGATTCTCGTAGTAAATTTTGGAATCATGACCTTTATCTGTTTATTAAAGATATGTATTGTTTAAGGCGTGTTTAAAGATATGTGAACACTGTTATCAAGACTGCGAATTTGACGGTTTATGGTTCTGTTAAGAAAACATAGGTTCAGCTTCATTCTCCGAAGCCAAACTGGGTCAAATCCAAGTTTGTCATATCGCTCTCTGTATGTCAACTTTGAGGAATATCCACATAGCTTTTTCGTGAAGCGTCTCTGGACCCTTTCAAGAGCACACTGGTCAGATTTCCGCAGATTAGACTGGACCAATGAACAGTATTCCATACACGGCAATGCATATGTTTTGTAAAGCGATCTGCGAGATTCCGTGAGGTAAAATGATGGCAGAGGTAACCGATGGTCTTCATGGCTTTCGAAACTTGAAAGTTACAATGTTCAGAAAAGTTAAAAGTGGCTGCATATCGCACGCCCGAGTCGCGAACTGCTCTGGATTGCGAGATATATGCGCCTTGTAGTAATAAAGTGTCTGGCAGTACTTGGAATTTGGGTGACAAAATATTACGCTTGTCCACGGCAAATGACATCTGCCACAGTTGGCACCAGGAGTCAACGGCAGATAGGTCACCCTGAATGAGACGTACGGCTTCCTGACTATTTGCACGTTGTTGTGATTAGACAACTTGGATAACAGCAAAGATAAATATAACACCATTTCTTATTCTCTGGAATATATCGTGAATATATATTAGAAAAAGAAGAGGACCAAGAACACTCCCTTGAATCACTCCACTAGTGATTGCTTTCGGTTTAGAGAAATGATCACCTATGCGCACCACCTGCTGTCTACCAATTAGATATGAAGACAACCAAGAGATTATCGGTTCTCCAATGCCTATAGCCTTCAGTTTGTTCAGTAATCTTCTGTGAGGCACTGTGTGAAATGATTTGGAGGTGGCCACGGTGAAGTGGGTTGCGACTATGGCCACTAGAAAATGGTTCGAGGGAAAGAGTCCATGATTGTTGCAATAGCTTGTGGGAGCTGGAGAGTTAGGTTGTATCCTCTGCATTATGTCACTAATAAGCTGTTAATTATGTAACGTATTGATAGGAGTCAGTGGGTAGCTGTCATTTCCATCCATGGGTAAAATCCGCTTACTTGCGCTCGATATACAAGGCTTCACTATACGCGGTGGACACACACTGGTGTCAATCCATACACCACTATCAGCATAATCCGTGTGGTTCGTTAATAGAATCGGTAAGTCTTGGTACCCAACTACACCGTGTGTAAGGTGCAGATGTGATGGCACGTCTTCCATAACCTTACGTCTATTCAAACAAAATGACGATACAGAGTCGTTCAATGACCCTTGCGATAA